CACCTTCGAAATATGATTTGCTGGGGATGATCGGCTTGATCCTCGAAAAACCACCATCTCCAGAGAATACCATATCCTTGTCCCAATACCGACGAGTCTCTATCAGTTCTTTGTTTATCCATCACGAGTATCGCGGAAAGAGTTTTGCTCGACAGGCATGGCTGTTTGTCGAAGAAGAAGCCAGAAAAATTGGCGCAGAATCCATAGAAGTTAGTACTTCTATAACCACTAAAATGGGCCCTTGGTACGAGAGGATGGGTTATAAAAAGTTCAAGGTGATCGACAATTACTGGTTGCAGGAGTTGATCGAGGAAGGGCTAATAGTAAACCCAAGCTTCGAACAATCTACGGCAATGTTCTTCGAAAAATATCTGTAGTCACAAGCACTCTCGTTTTTAGTTTAGTAATTTTTGGTATAGCCGGCATTGGACGCGTGTTACTTTTTATGGGACTTGTTGGCCTTCGAACATTCTTTAGTTTCTTTATTCCCACCTATTCGCACTCCCTCAACTTTCGAAACTAAACTCTTTGAGAGAATTATCTATCATGTCTCAAGACTTATTCAACCCTAATGATACTCTCTTTCGTGTAAGTCCTCCCAACTTGGTATGTGAGTCGAGAACACATAGTCACCGGTCCGCTAGTACTCCTGGCCTAAAGAACTCAACGGCATAGAAAGGGTAGCATGCTCGTCAATGGGAGATTTACAGCGTATGTTAAGGTAGGTGGTAACTTGGACCATTCGACTTCATACTAAGTCATCATCGACAGTGCATATTTCAGCGTACCCATTACCGTCCAACGAATACACGTCTCCAAAACGCCGGAGCCTAGGCATAGTCCAACCGTGGATGACCCAATAACTCAACATCGCAAGGTACACCTTCTCAGTGCCCCTAAATCTCTTCGACCCGACGTACTCGTCAACGGCTCATCACCTAAGCCTGCTATGAACGAACGAGTGCTTTGTATTGCAACTTCTTGTGTCCGTATAACATCAGAAATCGCAGCACAGAAATTTCTCGATGAGAAATACGCAATTGGACAGGTCTTTCGAATCCTCGGTCGCGTTGTACGTTGGTTGTTTCATCACATCTTTTGTCTAACATCAATCTCTCATAGGCAGACTTTTGTCTTCTGGAGGTTTCCACAGGATGGGGAAATGAGGAAGTAGGAAGACCTGGCAAAGAATATCTTCGACGCAGGTATCTCTTAAAGACCGAAGGATTCGAGTGCGAAATTGACGAGGTATTCCCCGACCGTGAAATGTTTGCAAATATTCCCGAAGATTGGTTAGCAGCATCTGACCCGGTGACGGAGCTCTAGTCGTAAGAGACTGATAGCTTTTCCCTCCCAACTCACGACTTACTAATAGAACATCACTTCATAGTATATGTTGTCAAAGTCCTTATCACCCCTACTCTGTACTTACCAGCATCTACTTTAGACATGTGTCTACCAGCATAGAAGTTATAGAGGGCTACAATAATCGTCGTATATTCTCCTTATCAGCAACCATGCTTGATATGTATCTAAGGCGCTGAAGAGGACAATCTAGTATACAGCGGCGAGTCAGTCATCATAACCAAAGCTCCAGAGTGGTGTACGACCGCGAAGACAAACGTGAATGTTGACTTGATTCTATGACACATCACACTATTCAACAAAGTCTGGTATATGACACAAGTTAGTTGCCTTCTGAATCAGAGACTTCTGAGTTCGTGCCGCGCTTTCGGAATGCGACGAAAACGTTGTCATAAAAATCCGTTGATCTGACGAATTGTGTCGGAGGGTCACGTAGTAGATCTATCTCGGTCCCAAAGAAAGCCTCTCTTGCCGTCCGTGGATCGAATATTGTCCTTTTGCGTGGTTGGATGTGCCCTTTGTATTTCCAGGATGGTGGAAAGGCGTGATGAAACCCAACAATGTGTGACATGCTATGGAGTTCAATGGAGTCTATTGCATTCACATTGCTAGAGGATCCACTTGATTCGCCCTCTCGAATGACCGGTGAGATTGACCAATCCTGGCGTTCCACAGCACAGAATCGCAATGTGTGAACCCATGTACCGGAGTCGCCCGAAACGTAACGATCTGTATAAAGCACCAGGATCCTTTCTATGTTCTGACATTTTGCGATAATGTCGAGAAGCGATTCATCCCACCTGGTACTGTAGCGTCGATAGAAAATCTGTTTGATGTCTTGGCCAAATATATTAAGCAATGGATGGAATGAAACAGCATCTGTATTTAGACGCAACGTCTCTGGCTTGATGAGGCTGGATGACAGGTGTGCGCTGTTTGTCTCAATTGGCCAGGTAGCATAAGTCCCAGATATGTCACAGGTGTCCCATTCTGCAGAATCCAAGGGAGGTGCTCGTATTGTCCCGTCTTTGGTTGCAAGGACCAAAAAGTCCAAATTTGCAAAGCAAACTAGAGCTTGAAGCTCCTCGAGTACTTTGGTCCTAGAAGGATGGGAGATATAGACCACTTGTATGGCTCTTAGGGACGTTGATAATGATTTAAATGCATCACGTAGCCGCCTCTCCGTGGTGGGCTTTTTGAACAGTGTGTTGACTTCTGGTCCAAGTCGCAACCGCAGCTCTACAAGGTTTGGGCAACAACGTAGTACCTTGTCAAGACTTTCAACTGGGATACCCAGCTTTTTGTGGGACAGAGATATGTCCATAACGCGTATAAACTTGCTGAGGGCCTGTCCACGGACTCGATTGTTGATGCCAGCCTCGAACGACTTCTTCTGATAGTCCCACTCGAGGATACAGGACCTATAGACGTATTGTTCCGCTGGAATTGTCCATATTCTGGATATTCGGGCGTATCTTATAAAGAATCTCCTGAATGCCTCTGGTCTAAACTCGACCTCCCAAGCCGTCGAATGCAGAACCCAAGCACGCTCAAGAATCTCAAGTATAATGTCTTCAGTGAGCACCACGGGCGCTATTGTATGAGACAAGTTCAGCGCTTAAGAACACAGTGGACGGTGGGTTCCAAGATGATGAATTATCTATGATACGGTCTATCGACCTTTTTTCAAACTGATACACGACGCTAATGTACAAGATACTGGGATCAGATGGAAGTCGGGATGGCTGTAGAATAAGAATAGGTGATGTTGTGGATGCAAAAAGGGACAAGGCCAGGGCTCAGATAGGCGTCCGACGCATTGCCACAAGGAAAGACTCCTGATAATCGGAGCGTCCATGAACATTGGGAAAATCAGTGTAGAGATCCTCTTCCTCCTGTCCATAGAATGCCTCGGCAAATGGTCGAGAATCGCAGACGAGTTCCTTCCTGTAGCGCTCCTTGTAACGCTCTTTCTCGGTCCACCACTTGGGCGGTTGATTGGAAAAGCTGACAATGTGAGATGCACTCTGGATAAAATCGTCGATTTCTACCATTATCATTTCTCCAGTGGAGGTCTCTTCCGCTCTGGTCTCACAAACCCACGACGAGGTGAAGCTCTGAGGAACTGTGTCCGGGTCCTCGAGCTATCTCTTTCCAACCGCCGTTTAGGCATTCCCGTCAAGTATCTCCATGCCATACTTCGTTCTTGCCCTCGACTACTTGAGCTGCGACTCCGCGTTGGCGCCGAGGTCAACACTTTCTATCCCACCATCTTACAAGAGAGACGCCTTCGCAACACATTCTCTACAACTCTCAAATCTCTCCGAGCTCTGCAAGTATTTGTGGATCAACGTTCGACTAAAAGTCGAGTTTTTAAAGAAGTTCAAGCTCTGACCGCAGGTGCAGAGTTGGACTTTGTCGCTCTCGCCACGGACAGCGACAAGACCATTCCCCCCACGTTCGATCCGCTTCAATACGACGTAGAGGTTGAGTCATACAGTCGATTTACCTGGCCAGTTGAAACAAACTCCCTTTCTATTTCCATGGCGAATATCAATCCATCACAATCGACTGAACCCAGTAACCCTGTGATCAAGCCGGAAACGATTCGTTTTCACTCCGACAATACCCACAATGGTGCATTCTTCGACTTATTCGCCCCTCATATCAAGAACTTGCTCTATCGGGTGTGGTCACATAGCTCCGTCTGGGGACAAGAACTCCATACACTCTTGACAAAGTGCCCAGGAAGATATTCGAAAGATATTCCAAACCAACTTTGATGATGACTCCGATTGCACCGAGTGGGAACGCTTGGCT